GGCGTGTTTACTTTGTTCGCGAGACGTCGCGTCATGAAATCGTTTACATGTATTTCAACGTCGTCGCTGATATATGTATTCTTGCGAAGCAGTAAGGTCGATTTCGTACGGAGATACCTCAAGAACAGAATCGCGAACATATTTGCTTTCAACGTATTCTCTTTTAACTTCTTGGCGAAAAATTGTTATTTGCTTTTATATTGCATAAAATCTTTCATATTATAATATCCCGTCCTACAAGAAGTAACCAATGTTACACGAGCTCTGTACAAGTTATAGCCGATCTTTATGCAAGTTATCCAAGAAATAGCATAATTTAGATGCATTGTATATAATTAACTTATCATAATCGTGCAGCTTCGCTCGCAATAATTGGAGTAACCTTCTACCCGAGGCGTTAATCTGATCGGTAATAAGCGACGATGGGAACACAGCGAGCGATATCGCGCCATTCCTGACATTTCGCCTTGAACGCCTCACGACTGCGACGACGGCTTATCGACGTTCAGCTCCGCCGTGACTTCGCCGTCGCGTCGTGAAATAATTTCTATATTTAGTACGCGGCTCGCGGTCGCATCAGGCCAGGTTTCCGCGTGCACGATCGGCAAATTCGGGAAATGTGGACGAGTCATCGATACGCCCGGGAGACGACGCGCGTGACTCGAACTTCCCATTTGTTCCTCCTTACCCGTGGGGCCCCACACGGTCGTGACTGAATTCGCCTCTTAAAGACACGATCGTCGATGCGATCGCGCAATGAATCACACAATACGTGTTCTGCTATACGCTGACATTTATACACCTTACTCTCGGCCGGGCTTCCTCGTGCTTGTCTACGAGCCGCATCATGCCGCCCCGAGCTGCACAAAATTGCGCAGGCATATTAAATTTAAGCGCCGATAAATCAACAAACGATTTCGAGAGTTCTCCATCCTCCGAAGAACGGGCGGGGAATTAACGGGCGTGTAATGAAATTACGCGCGCAACCGATCGCGATAAAAAGGGGATTAGGTGATTTCTTTTTTTACGCAGATGGCCATACGCGGAGTTAAGTATATCCGAGTTTCAATTTCCCGTAAGATTTACACGGCAGCGCCGTGTGTTCGCGCCGTGCGCGAGCCGCGATTGTAATCGCATTACATTTTTTTTTATGAATGGTAAACGAGGCCGGGATTATACATGAATATATGTACGACCGGGTAGATATATGGAGGAGATTACCGCCGCCGGTGGTAATGGCACATTGTGCGATACTTTAGAGCGCTCGCGCGTAGATATTAGCTGGCATATCGGATGCACGATGTATACTGCTCCCAATCATATGCATGAGGCCGCGACGGGAGGCCGGGATCTCAATTCAGTCTTCCCTACGAAACAAGATTCCCCCGGAGTTCGCGTTTACTCCTCCGTCCGTATATCACTTCTCGGATATCGTTAATGTCGATGATCGAGGGAAGGAAACAGATTTTAAAATTCGTCCGGATGTTGTTGAAACAAAGCACGTTCTTTCAGCCCGCCCCTCCGATCGGTTCGTTCAGAAAGCCCGAAAGGACGACGTCACGTAGCAGATCGTAATAGATCGAACGCGCAGATTACGAAGATATTAATCGGAGCGGCGCGAGGGTGACGAACCGCCCACGCCACGTGCAGTTGACCTAACGTCCTGCATCACGAAATGCCTCACGGACGAATCGATCGTACCTCATCAGATCGCCGCACCTAAAATCCACGTACGTCCGGTGACGCTGAATTCGCGAAGAAGCGTGAGGAAAAAAAATTATTCATTTTCTTTCTGCTGCACGAGCGACGCGAGACTCGAATCTGTCCCCCGATCCAATTATGGTTCACTCGCGCTGCGTTTCTGCAAAGTACGGGAGAGACGTAATTTTAGATCCCGAGTTAAAAACTCGCGATATCGGATAACTGAGCGCGCGCGAGCGAACGACGGAAATCGATCGCGCCGAATGATCGAGAGGAGGTATAGGGCGCGTACAAATGCCACGGGGTCCCGTGTTCTATTCCGAGGATTGATGGCGATCGGGCGCTTTAATCCCCGTGAACGGCGGAATTAACGAGCGCGCGAACGCGGGCGCTCGTAAAGCTCGCACCGAGCTGGCCTAAATATAAGCGTCCACGAGAGAAACGCGCGGCTCCCGTAAGGCCTCGGGTGTAATCCGGACTTCCTGCGCGGCCTTCCTCGCGCCGACGTTTCCCCTCCTTGTCGCTAACGCGTGTGACCACTGTTTCGTCATTCAAGTAACATTTCCTTTTTTAACCCTATTCGCTCCAACCATGCCTTTCGTGTCCCACGAATTTCTAACAGTCGTTTGTTCCGGAAAACAAATGATCGTGGGAGAATCCCCTCCACGCCGGAAAAAAGTTATTGTGGCAGGGAACCTCAGGTAAAAATTTCAAAGTCCTAGCTTATTTATTCTCGAAACGGGGAACAATCAAAATCTCGGTGGGACATGAAAGTGCATGGTTGGAGGATTACGTCAGTGTTGTGTGAAAGGTAAATGAGCATTTTTTTCGATAAAAATGTATTTTTGTGTATAATTTAACCGTATTTAAAATATTTTTATCGTTAAAAAAGAAATTTAACATTCCACAGAGGTTTATTATGGCTCAGAGGCAGGTGGAAGAGGTGGGGAGGAGCTACGATTATATAAAAAAAATTAATTTTTTTACATAAAAAATATCTGTCACACTTCAAATTCGCCTTTTCTTATTCAAAAATTCTTTTTTTAGCATTCTTTAAGTCCTTAAAGTCCTTCTGTACCATTTAAAAATTACCAAATTTGCGGCGACGAAATTAAGTATTCCTATTTAATTAATAATTATCTCATATTTTTTTCTCATTTGCACTACTTTTAGCTTTAATTTGCGTTTTGGTTCATTAAGCTTCGTCAATTTGTTCGTGAGTTATGATTTTTTAAGTAAAACGAGTCGTAACGTGTGTTTGTCAACATATAATTGTTGTAAAAAAATATTTAAATAAATGATTTTCAAATGTTCTTTACATTGATTTTTAGTCGAAGGTACAAAGATATTATAATAATTTTTGGGGAATTTTTCAAAGCTATTAACATTATAAAAAACACGTGGGACTCGAAAGTGCATGGTTGGAGGATTATTGGGGCGAAAAAAACGTTGGAGTGAATAGGGTTAAACGTCTTCCTCATCCCCTTCGGAAACAGTGACACGATCCTCTTGGAACGCTGCGTGAAAATGAGATGCTGCGATCGGACGTACTTATATAATATGCTAGGTCGAATTTTTAATAGCGTTATAGGTTTTCCTGTACAGAAATCATTTTTTTTCCTTTCACCGAGGAAATCTTGTATTGTGGGAATATAAGCGTGCCCGTTTCACGGCTGATCGCTAATCGCTCGCGAATAGTGCAGGCCGACCTCGGATGCAACGTCCCCATTGTGTCGCCATTGGCATCGACGTCGATTTTTCCCGTGGAACTCCGACGATGCGGGCGGCGCTATTAACCGCGTTTCCCCGTTTCGCCGATATTATTTATAATCGTCGCCCACCGACGACCTACGGGAGCCAGGAGCAGAAACGTTTATTCGTGGCCCGTCGCGAGCGTGAGTCACGAAATTCGAGAACGAGCACGTTCACCGTTCGCATGCCAGATCGCGGCAGGAGGAGAGGACGTCTCTAGGGGTTGCGAGCGTCCCCCCGAAGAATACTTTATCGGTGATAGACAGAGGATTATATCGCTCGTTATTAAAGCCCGAAATGAAACACGAGATGAAAACCTTTATCCCGCCGAATGGTATCTCGATTGAGGGGTGGCCGTTATTTTTATTTACGCACGACTGACGACATTTATTTCGTAACAACAGATGTAACAGCACGAAACGCTGCTTTGGTAAAAATCTCGTTAAAAACGCGTCAAAGTTAATCGGAGAGATTTTTAATCTTTTTTTTATATAAATAAATATATATGTTTCCTGTGAAATGTGTACAATCGTTTATGGAAAAGATCTGGAGTCTAAAATAATTTTATCGTAGTGATCCTGGCAAACGAGTCGTACGGTAATTTAAAAACGTCCAATATTTCCTATTTCGCGACAGTCGGGTGACTCAATCGTATGTGTAATCAAGCGATGAGTCAAACACCTGGCTAACGAGTTAATTTGCCTATTTAAGGAAAGCATTTACCCAATTCCATTACCAGTATTTATCCTATTATCTATGTAGCATTTTTATTTATCTAAAAATTTTATGTTAGAAATGTATAGAAAACTGAGCTAATCATGACTCGAGTTGCTTTTCAATTGTCTGCACTATAGTGTTATCATGTCTGCGTTATCATGCGTTTCTCTGCATCGCTTCGCGCATATCGCTTTAATGTATTGCAATAAATCTTGAGGAATACATGAGATTATTTAGCATAGTATGTGCAACGCGACACAGATATGGCAATGCAATAACACTGCCCCTTCACTCCGTGTGTCATCGAATTACGTCTTTTTAAAGATGACGAATTAGATTCGCCCCATGACGCATTTATACACTGAGAAAAAAATTTTTAGATCCAAGAAAATATTTCTTTGAATAGTCCTAATAACACATTTACTTAATATAATACACATATTTATTTAGAATTAGATATTTTTACTTAATTTAAGTAAAGATATATAATTCTAAATAAATATGTGATTATATTAAGTAAATATGTTATTAGGACTATTCAAAGAAATATTTTCTTGGATCTAAAAAATTTTTTTCTCAGTGATATATCAATGATCAATAGTTTTCCCTTACGATCTCAGGACTTAATCTTCATCGTTATTACGTATATTTCCAAATATTTCCCTATCGCGATATACCCACGCCGGCAAACTGCCGCACGTTTAACGGCAGCGAAGGTTCAAGACGCACCGTTTAATCAATGGTACTGATGTCAACATTAGGCGGCTTATTATTTTGTTTCTCCTGTCTCGGTGATATTGCGATGAAGAAAAACAAAAGGAGAGACTCACCATCCGCGGGCGTATCTGTCACGGTACGTCGACACGGCGAATCCGAACATGGACCTCTCCTCCATACGATACACCGCATAGTGCTTCGTCTCGACGTTGAAGCCGTCGGCGACGTGCTGGATCGGCGAGCCGACGATCGCGAGCCCGACGAGGAGACCCCAGAGAAGCCTCGTCGACCACATCCTGTCCGCTGGTCTGGCGTATCACTGGTCGCACTGCGAGCACTCTGTCACCGTGTGTGTGTCGACTCACTTTCATATATGAGAACCGATCGCGCGATAGAGAAGAACGAAAAAGAAGAAAATTTTTTTAAAACAATAGCACACGCGCGATACGTGGACGCGACGCAATGTCGGACTAGAAGAACGTCGTGAATTCGTGTTAACGTTAACGCGCACGGTCACGCGGGTTAGCCGGTAGCAGCTGCACCACCAGCACCGACGACATGTGTCTTCCGCGAGGCCCTCGAGTTCCGAGACCCGTCAAGGGTGGGAGCGAGCGAGGGAGAGAGGGAGGGAGACAGAGAGCCGGAGAAGTCTGCTTGACGGACGCCCGCGGACAGACTGAGTGGAGCACGGCTCTTTCGGGTAGTCTTCGCTTCGCTCACTCGCGCGGCTCTCGAGGACTCCCACCCACGGCGCGGCGCCCGGCTCTGCCGGAGCGTTCTCGGCCGACGCGCGTCGCGACG